TTATTGCTATAATGGTGGGTCAGTCTCTAGTCAAAAGGTTTTTTGTCCCAGGCCAGCCCTGTATGCAGCTCATCTGCAGTCTGGTGTTATCTACATCTTCCTATTCGGAAGGCAGAATTTCCGAGTTCTGAGTACAATCGAAAGCACCACGACTGCAGTTTTCGTTTTGTATGTAAAAAGCGCACATGACGCTGTGACGTAGGCTAGAATCATGGCAGCGGTCAACGACGGTCCAGGTGTGGGATTTCTCTCGTGGAAATATGCACATTATTTTTTCCTTTGTATTGGTAGGTGGCACAGTGCACTTGTGGCAAGTAAGCAAGCTAGAAGACTGGCAATCTTGCTGGGTATCCAGTTACGGATGCAACACATTAACAAGAGAATTCTGAGTAAAACCAAAGTTACTTCCCCTAGTAACTAGTTACTTTGAAAGTAACAAGTAACTTGAAGTAACTGAGTTACTTTTGATAGAAGGAACTAGTAATGTAACTAAGTTACTAATTTAAAGTAACTTACCCAACACTGGTGGTCTGCTGTTTGGACTTAAAGTAAGTATCCACCAGAGCTTAAATACATTTTTGAAGATATTTTGGAATCTCAGTGGACACAAATTGATATCAAGGCAACTCTCAAAAACTAGTTGAACAAGACTAATGGGAGCCAGCACCCTTTAGTATTAGATTAGAGATAGTTATATTAAAAAAAACTCCAAGAAAGTTTTCCAAAAGTCTGGAAAACTATTGCTGAGTTCAAGATAAAAAAAAAAATAAAAATCAGAAAAATTAAAAGAAAGTCTTGATCCTTGGTTTCAAAACATAAAGGAATGACGTTTGACTCAAGATTTTTGCACAGTACTGTACATACTTACTTGTTGTATGTGTTTATTTTCACAGCACTGATTTTTAGACTCAGCTTCTGAGTCTTCTGACTCACTTACATGTGGTTGCAAAAGTACTTCCGGTCCTATAAAAGTCTATTGGACCTCTGTAAACACTATTATTGACGGCATGGCCTCAGTCACTTATTTTAGGTTATATTGAATAAAAATTTGAGTCCATTTTGCAAATGTTGTACATATGTTTCAGAAAGGAGGATTATCTGGGATATTATTGGCTAATGACTGATGATTAACAGGTTAAGCATACAGTTTTGCAGCCAGAACAACAAAATAGCAACGCCCATAAAAATCGAGTTTTCAAAGTGGGACTTCACAAACCTAATGTTTGCCTTTTACTGTTTAATTCATTTTAAATATGTTAAAAAATATCTGTTATTTTTAAACGGTATGTTTTAATATTGACTGTCAAAAAATGAATATAATTAATTTCGCAGTGCTGCATGGTATGTCTGTATAACAGCTGCTACACTTAGGATTTTTATAACATTCATAAAAGTAAAGCATTGAGGCAGGAAAAATAAATTTTGTGTCTGTTACAATAGAGTACAGGTTGAGATTGATTTAATGGGACACTGAGTCGAAGATCGATTTTAACTGGTGGTTTCAACAGAGCTTTCAAATGGAGTGAGTGAAACCTACATTTGGCGATTTTGACAAACTCAACATTTCTCTACACATTTTGTGTGCTCGCAAAACTGAAATGTTCTTATTTAATTCTGATTCACCCCTTTAGCAATTCAATTCACCTCTCCACAGAAATAACACGTTAAGCAGACTTAACAGATGGTTTCCTCTTCCTGAGCCCGGATCTGCTGGAGAGTTCTTCCTGTTAAAAGGGAGTTTTTCCTTCCTACTGTCTCCAAGTGTTTGCTCATAGAAGATCATCTGAGTGTTTTCTCTGTATTACTGTAAGAGCTTTACCTCAAAATATAAAGCACCTTGAGTGACAGTTGCTGTGATTTGGAGCTATATAAATAAAATTAAATTGATTAGAAAAGTTTATGTTGGGTCCCACCCACTTAATTTTGTCAGCGTTGTGTCGCCTTTATTTGCTTGAAGTTTCTGAAAATCTTCACTATCTATGGTCTTTAGTCTCCACATTGCTGCAAGTTGCTTCCAGTGTGTACATACCTCTTAAAAACTCAGGGATGGATCGATTTCAAATGAAAACAAACATGAAGGGGAGACGAGTAGATATTTCTAAAATAATTCTTTTGCATTTTGAGAAAAAAACTCTACTAAGTTGTAGATCACTTGCTCCTTAGCAACTCTGTAGCGTAAAAATATTGCTGTAGAATAGTTGCACACAGGGCATTAATTCTGCTCGTAAACCAACAGCATAATAAAGTCATACAGTTTAGGGATGCCCTCAGGTATTTACAAATCATATCAATCTGAGGTATTATGCTATTTGGTAGCATAATAGCTGGTAGCATTTGGCCCAAAGAAATTATTCTAAAGTGTCAGTCTTTGAAAGCTAAAGAGCTTATGGCTCTGTCTCACAGAGAACTCAGTCCAGTGAGGCCATGTTTGAAAGCAAAGGCTGTGGATTTAAACGTGCAATGACCTATTTTCTCTGTCAGCATTTTAAAAGACTGAACGGTAGCTTCTCACTCTGTCAGCTCAATGTGAAAGCAACGCACTTCTTTGACCTTTACAATGATCATTTTCTGGTTGGTGGACCTTCTTCATAGCAACCGCTGTTTCTCAATTACATCCAGGAGTTCCTGTAGTTCCGGCAACTTTCATTACCCTCAAATCAAATACATACTTTTTATGGAATGAACAATAACAAGTATAGCTATTTTTGGTTGTTAGATAAATCTAAAGTCATATATAACCACTGTATTTCTTCTTTTGTCCTACTTAATAGGATAAGGATTAAAATGTTTATAATGTACTAAAATAGAGAAAATAGATTTTAACAGCCCTTGCGGTGTTGATTAATATTTTTAATAATCAAATATGCAGATGTGCTCTTTGATGTTTAGAAATGATCCACATTCTGTTGTGTTTTTGACATGCTGGTGCTCAGGAGGCAGCATAAGTGAGCTGTGCTTCACTGCTGTTTAAAGAGAGCATTACTGCAACTGTGTAAATATCTACACTCTTATTTCAGCTCCACACTTTTTAAATAAACAGCGAGGAAAGGCAATGCAGATCTTGGTCTGATACTAAAGAGGAATCTCAAGGCTTTCCTGTCCACAATATTGTCAGTCTGCATCTATGCGCTGAGGGGAAGAAGGGTGTTTAGCCCCGTCAGCATAGAGGCCCTTGTCCTGTATCCTTCCCAAGGTGACTTCTCTGCTGTTGGCAGGCAGAGCCATGAACACAGCTCCCAAGACTCTCCCTCTCTCTTCTCTTTCTCTCCCTTCTTCTCCCACACACCCATCAGCGTTTAGATACCACCGGGTAAAACGCTTTCATACCTTTTTTTTTTTTTAACAAAGATGTCAAAGCATGTTTTTTTTTTCAATTTTTTTCTCTCACTTCCTCCTCCTCACATCATTTCCATAATTACAGGTAAGAAAAAAGCGTCATATTCATTACATTTCTTTTCAGTGCTTTGCGTCTTGTCTACAGTCAGATTTTGGTTATGGCTAAGTGCCAACACATGAGCACCTGACCTTTTCCTCTTTCAGTTCTCATAGTGGAGAACGTCCACCTACGCAGCAGCACACACACACACACCTCCCACACAAACTCTCTCTCACACACAAACACTCACACACATACACTGGCAGCAAAATTGTGCTTTGAGAGCAACTGTCTGTGAATCTGTGCAGGTTTGTGTTGGAGATTGCATCCTGGAAATGCAGACCTCTTCATTTTCTATTACCAACACTTTTTGGTGGAACATGGAGGTGTGTGACCACGATTGTGTGTAAATAGGCCATTATCCCATGTCTACAGTAGGTCATCTATTTCAGTCCAGGTTAATTCTCTACATGGGAGAAGGTGTGCTAATTTCCTCTCTCTGTCTGTCTGTCTCTCTCTCTGCATGTGTGTGTGTGCTAAATTGATTAAGAGGATTCGAGTCGCCGATGAACGTCAACACAAACTACGACCACCAGCACACACTTAGGTGCACATGAACTCTTACCCTACTTTAAGATTAGCTTTAGGCTGCTAATACACACAAACACATTTGTTGTCAGTTGAGAGAACAGCATAATGCCCCAAAGTATATCCCCAGAGGATGCACCATTATTCCCACCATATTTGTTTGCCTAACCCCACCCCTTCACCTAACTTTAACCAAAAAGTCTTTAATTTCAGATTTGTCTAATCCTTAATAAGGCTAGAGTTCCCCTGATGTCTGAACAACATTTTTTGCATTTTACTTTTACACTTGTTCATTAGGCAGATTATTTCACTCCAATCACTGGACAAACGTAAATATAATCCAAGGCACATCAGATCAGGGTGAAGTCACACTGATGCCACTAACAGTTGAGATGTGTTTACATGTGAAGGACTTGGACTAAGCATCCATGTAAGGTATAATTTGCTAAAAGTAATCTTTCTGCATATTAGTGTTACATGTGATTATTCGTGAAAGCAACCACAGAGCTTTCAAACATGCTTTATTCCCACAGTTGCTAGCAAACAACATAAATTGCTTTCAACCTCATGATTTGATTCTCGTGTTTTATAATGAAAGAAACATGCCAAACATGTTAACAGCCCATTATTAGCACCACATCAGTCCAATATGCATGATAACAGCTTGCAAAGCATCTGCTTTGTTACTAGACGCCAGGCCTCCTACTGGATTGCATCTTGGACTTTTTGAATGAACTTTAAATAGTTTCTATGCGGATAAAAATAAGACTTCTCATCCCAGAATGAACTGTTGCTGACCCGTAATGTAATGCAGTTAGGGTAAGAGAATGTCAATTATTGTAGTCTTATTAAAACCATACATGACACACATCCTCAGGCAGCAACATCCTGACAACCAGCTTCTATACAGGAACTCCAACACTACTCAAAAACACACATGCATGAGAAAAAATAATGCTTTCGGTCTCCTCAGCGCATCCCTGAGCCAAATTGTGTGGAGATCCTAAAAGTTGTTCCAGATCCGAAGCGGTCTTACCTTTGTGACAGTCATGCAGAATCAGTGGGTGAGGAGCAGGCCGGTGTCCCCTTCAAGCAAAGAGCAATGCCGCAGGAGTGGCAAAGTGATGAGGAGGAGAGGAGGGCAGCTCTGCTGAATATGCACACAAGGAGAGGGAGGGAGAGAGACAGAGAGAGAGAGAGAGAGGAAAGAGGAGGGGACAGACAGGTTAGTGTGTCTGGCTCACTAAGTACGGAAGGGCTGATTGCTGCTGCAGTGAAGTAATGGCTGGCAGTCGACGTGTGGTTGGTTACTACAACAGGGAAGAGCTCCCTGCTAAGATACACCCCTCCCTCCTCCCTCCCCAGCTGCCCGCACGCACACACAAACACACACACATGCGGATGATGTGCTCAAAGCCTGACTGCACTACTCTCTCTCACTGTCTATCACAATATGATTAGTGATGGGCTAATACAGATTACTGATTATTAGCAGTGAGGCAAGGCTGCGGGAGGAGGCGGGAGCAGAGACCCCGGGATAGGAGAGGACTGCAGAAATAGAGACGGAGGGAGGGAGGGGAGTCAGATGCTGTGTCGCAGTCTGCTACTCAGGCATGGAGCCGGCTGCACGTCATCTGCCGTGTGCGTGTGTGTGCCTAAGTGTGTGAACGACACAGGAAATAATGAGGGGAGACAAGAGTCTGTTAGATATTTGCACCAAGTTCAGACTACACTGAAGGGATGTTAATTCTACATATAAAACCATAAAGGAGTCCTTGGCAGATACAAATGGACACACAGGTAAAAGTTGTAGAAGCTCCACCTTGGAGGACACCAACTAATCTAATATTCATGCATGCTATAACCTAATGGTGAACCGTGGCAGAACTTAGCTTTCAGTGGATATCGTCATCTGGTTTTGCCAAATTATGTTGTTGTAAATGAAAGCATTACAAACCAAGAAAAACATTTGATGAGGAACATAAGTGATCATCAGTCAGATTTGGCCCTAATGCTAACAACACCTCACTGCCTTATTACTCCAATTACTTTAACTTTGATTGATTTTCTCAAAGAAATTTGAGAGTCTATGACGTCTTCACTTTGGAGTACGTTTCTTAGCATTTCTCACCCTGGGTGTCTCAGTGTAGTAGCACAAAGGCATCCACCCACACTCACAGAATAACAGATCTTTGTCATACTAACTGGCTGAATAGAGGGATGCTAGAGACAGGCCAAGATTCCAGCTCAGTTACCATGGCTTAGATTCCCGAATAGCTGAGTGAGAGTCTTCTCTAGTGGCTGCGAGCCACAACACAGTCTTTGTTTTGCCCATTTATGTGTAACTACTTGCGTTTATGTGCGTGCGTGTGTGTACTGTAAGTGTCTGTACATGCTGGAGTTAAGGTTACTGAGACAAAGAGAGTCCCGAGTGAACGCAGTTTTCTTTCTCAGTCTGTTTTTTTATGTCACTCATATATCTGCGTCACTTTGCTCCTAATTCTCAGAGTTTTAGGAGTGTCATCTATGGCCCCACTCTCAGCATTTCCTGTCTGGAACAATAGTATTTCCTGTGTCTGTTTGCATACTTTGGGTGGAGGAGAGGGTCTTTCAAATATAGAAGAAAATATCTGGGGGATGGGAGTTGAAATCAGCATGATTTTAAACATGATGATTTTATTTATATCAGGATTTACTCAGTTTATGATCACACATCATAACTAATTAGCATTTCTGAGATAAATGATGAAATTTGAGAAAATTTGGGATTTTAGCCCATGGTCATTTCTGTAACACAGTGCGAAACTTGCATCTCTTGCCACTTCTTAATTCAGGCTTTTGGAGGTAAGTAAATTTTCCACTTTACACCATATAAAATGTGTGGGAGGAAAAGACATCATCCACAGGGTGGAGGTGGCAAATCCTGTGACCATTAAATCTGAAGGTGCCACCGTGGCTCATATGTTCCACCATATGTCTACATGCTTCTACTCAAAGAAACAGAAGTGGAAAGAACTTGTCTTCATTAACGGTGACAGCTAACATGCACGGATGTGAACAACATTAGGTTTGAAAAATGCAATAATAAACAACAGCAGTCAGTTGATCTGGCCTAGCTATGCTCTCCAAAGAGGAAGAGGATGTATTTTACCAGGTCTGTTATGCATTAGGAGCTTAATTTCCTTATTGTTTAGCAGTCTAACCCTCTGAAGGCTTTTCGAGGAATTCCATATTTGATGTTTTGCTTCCACCTTGTGGTGAAACAATATCATTACCTCCAGGTAATAGTCTGGTCCTACTAAACATGGCATTTGTTTTAAGTTTTCATCAACTTTACACAGAGGCTTTAAGGGTCTTTATCAGTGGATGATTTTCAAATAAATTTCTCGCTTTATAAGCAGTGGAAGTGTACTGGATATAAGCATTGCTATTATCATTCCTTCTGTTTTTAATAGGAAACCGGGAAAGCCTTGCTTACATATGCAGTAGCTTCTCCAGCAAAAATACCTTTTACTTGTGCCATGGAAACTATTCAAATTTAATCATATTAACAGAAGTGGTGCATTTAGGCCTACAAGTTTAACACCACGTTTCTAAGCTAACAGTTAATGTTAGCTTAGCTTAAACCTTGAAGCTTCATAGCTCATAGAGGGTATACATGATATACTGGTGGTGAGGACAAAAAGTGTAAAAGTGTAAGTAGTTATGGAGGTTATACAGTGATGTTTTTGGTTGGGATGTTTAAGGAAGTGATAACTGGTTAACTGAGTTAAATATGTATGTGGCTTTCTCTTTCTCTCTTTAGCTGAGCATCATCTAGTTTCAAACCTCAAAAAGGATAATAAATAATGTGTCAAAATAAATAAATAAAAAAGCACAAGCTAATGTTGACGAATGTTTTCTTTTATCAGTAGTAGGCCTTTTACATGTAATGTGCAGAAGCTACTACTTACTTCAATGTTAGCTAAAACATTACCCATAGGTTTGCCTCAAATTGCATCTATTAGCAGGAAGGATCAAAAACCAAAGTATTAAGATATTGAAATATAATAAAACAGGATTTTGCTAATAGGGTTATTTCTCTTTTTTAATTGATTAAATAACCTGGTTTCCTAATAAATTATTTTTGCACATTTTTAAGTTAAATGACCAAAAGTTATAGTATTTGAAATTGCATATCAAAACATTGTGGACTTGAAAAAAGCATTTTTAAAGACTTTTTAAACTATCTATTTTCTATCATTCTGCTTTTGAGTTGGTAAAAGCTTTTGAGCTTTCCAAGGAGGATGAACCTCACAAATTCTGCATTTTTGACAGTATTTGGCAGCAATTAGCTCTCTTGTTAGATTAATTGAAGCCTAAACCTCTGCGTGCAGACCTCAGACTGTGTTGGTACGCGATTGTCATTTGCTGTTGACGCACATCTGTGCTCAGAGTAAAACATGATTGGCCTTCACTGTAATTGAAGCGTATAGCAGGATTATTTGGTAGCCATTATTTAATCTACTCAGCAGATTATTGTTACAAAACACAATAATATGATGTAACCAACTTCTGTGCCGCTGGTTCAAGCTAATAATAGACTCATCCATCACAGAAAATATTAAGGAGTGTGTAAACCACAAGAAAGGACCACTGTTCTTAAGGTCTCAGCTGACTCACTGTTCAGAAACCACGCTGTATTAACAGTTAATGGGACGACTAATCTTGCCAATGCAAGCAGACTAAAATTGCAGTGAAAAACTATTTCATGCTTGATGTGCAGCTGATACAGTTTCTCCCATATCAGAAACTAACTTGTACCATTAGCAGCCAATAGTTTCTCTTGTTCTGGTATATTTCTCAAAGTATTTGAGAAGCACTGAAGAAGCATTTCCCAGAACAGTTCAAATGAGCATCCACACACTGCAGGTTAACAGGTAAACTGTACCTCCGACATGATGTAAAATCAAGCATTTTATTAATATACCATCAGAATGACAGTTCATGCGAGAAGTGTTGTCTTCAAATGTTTCTCATTGACGAATAAATTCCTGCTGTATTATACCAGAAAACTATTTTGACTATTTCTGAAAAAAATAACTGTCTTACTGAAGACTGTTCAGAAGCTGATTACAAGAGCAAAACGTTTTACACAATTTGTAAAGAAAAACAAAAGACAACTTAGATTTACGTGTGATGACAGGGTCACAAAACACCAAATCTACACAAAACTGCACAAACAAACACGTAGCCTGTAAAAACCAGAAACATTGTCCTACTGTGTGCAATAGCCCGCTTTAGTAACAAAAGAAAGGCTTGCAATCTGCAGTCTTCTTCTGTTCCCTTCTGCTGTCATGCCATTACATTTATTGCAGCAAACAGAGATATCATATTTTGTAACTGACAATCATATGCTTTCTAGCTCCATTCAGAAAATAACCCCTGAACAGGATTCAATAATAGAGAGTTATAGTGTTATGGAGTTTTAGAATTATGATGGAAGAAACTCAGATGAACCCCAGACCGTTCACTGATAACATTGCTATTATGGGAGCTGACATGTATTATATTCACACAATGCTGGTTTGGAACATCTTCAGTGGCTTGTGGTATGAATTTTCAGCTCTCTCCTATCATGGCCAGACTGACACTAGCCTCAACCATCACAAAAATGAAACAAATACACTCCACATTCGCACACTTACAGCAAAGTTTCCTCATCCCTATGGTAACGCAGGTCACACTGAAAGGGACATATATCATAATTGCTATAATGTGTGTAGAGATCAGCAACGTTTTACCTGCACCTACTAAATCACCTTCACTGTCACAGTTTATCTGAGATGGAACGTAATTAATTTACTGTCACCTGATTTCTCTTGCACTTGATCTGTCGTAGATGCTTTGCTGGCCAGCTGACAGCAGAGGGTGAGAGAGAGATAAGAATGATGCAGAGAAAGAGAGTGATATACAAAAAAGGTAAGTGGCTAGGCTTTTACCCAAACGTAGATAATATGGCTAGCACTGAAAATGAATGAACTGACAATGTGGCCAACTTTTAATTTAAAATTGTGAGAAATTCCCTTCATTGCATTACATTGCATTTTCTGTCTTCGTTTGTACCATGAGTGAGCCCCCTCTTCGGTTCCTAGCCCGCTCCATGATTCCCCCCTCACAGAAATTGTTGCTCTAGTGGAACATTTAATCCACAGAAGCTCCGATTTCGGCTTCCCCAGTGCGCAGCACAGTGTTCCAGTCAGCCGCAGTCTGCTCACAAACCACTTCCTCCATCTGAGGAAAGTGCAGAAGAAGAAGAAG